CAGTGACTTCTCCGCTTGAGTTTCAGCGGTAGTGCGCATGCCTGCCTACACCCGGGAGACCTAAATTACCGACAAAATCAGTTGCTGGAGGCAGGTCCCTGGGGCTGGCCTCTGGCTTGTTGGACTGGTCACTGGTATGTTGATATAGGGTGTCTTCTTTCTTGGCTCACGGAGATCTCAGGTGGCTGCCCTTGGCCACCAGTCAGTGAATGCTCCAGGGAAGTTTCCAGTGGCCTCTTGGCTGCCTGTCCGTCCTCTGCCAGGTAGCTCTTTCTTAAATAATCTCCCTGTGTCTTTCCTCTAATTTTGCTCTTCTGTGTTTGGTGCACTCTGATTCAGTGAGCTGTTCAGAGCACCAAAATCACTAATTCAAACTGCTGTACCTAGTTTTTCAAGAACTTAGGTGGTAGAGGGATATAGCATGGTACTTACTGATGAGACTCCATTTTGAATCTCTCTCCATTTTACATGCACTCCAGCATAACTGCATTTCTACTTCTCCCTACCCTTCTCAGAGAGCCTTGTAGCTATCTAAACCAAACATCCCTGAGAACTCACTCACCCCTTCCTTTCCCTGAGAGCTGTTAATAGTAATTCCCGGAGTTAGGGGCCTACATCCTGCCAACAGAAATTCTCAGAATTGAGGGCCCTCACTCCAGATTGTGTGTTTCTGTTCTGATAATAAGCTGACCACCAGTCTTCCTTAAAATAGTAAGCTGACCATTAGTCTTCCCTAAACAATAACCTGGCAATTTATCTCGCTTCTGTAACACACTTGGTTGCCTGCTTGCAGTCCTAAGCTACATAAACCTGCCAGAAATCAGGCTCAGGGCTGCAGTTGGGGAAAACGCTTTAGTTCCCTGCAGCCCGTCTATAGCTGAATAAAGACTCTTCCAAATTCTGAACATTATAGTGGTCATCAATCTCTTCTGAACCCACAACACCCAGCAGCCTTTGCGACAGGTTTCATCTTTGTTCTGACAGCTTTTGTGGTGGAATCCATCTTGGTTACTTCCTGTGAGCACACCCGATTTTCATAAACCTACTTTTCCCCCTTCTCAATCCTCTACCTGTTTTATGAATAAATGTGATGCCCCCTCCCCCCAAAAAAAACCTTTATAAACCCTAGGAAATCCTGTTCTGTGAGAGATTGGAGGCTGGCGTAATTGAGAGACCCTTGCTGTCTCTCCTTCATGAGCCCCTCCCCTCTCCTTAATAAATTTTGGTTCACGTGGACACGAACTGTTCAATTCTTTGTTAGTAGAGAAGGCAAGGACCCCTGCTTACGGTTCAGGACCCCCCACTGGTAACAATAGGAACTGAAAAGTGAAGTGACAATGCAAGAGAGTGACACAGTTTGGAAAGAGGGTGACAATTAAGCAAATGTATGAAGAGAAAACAATAGGAACTGAAAAGTAAAGTGACAGTGCCAGAGAGTGACACAGTTTGGAAAGAGGGTGACAATTAAGCAAATGTATGAAGAGGAGCTGAGAAATGAGTGGAAAACTCTGAATTTCCAGGCACAAGTTCTAGGTCCTGCTTAGCAGTCCAGGTGTATGTTTAACCTTGGGTTACTAAGATGCTGCCTCTGTATTGCGTAATGAATTCCTACTTTGCGGTTGAGCTTGCTCCAGTTGGTTTTGTTACTACATGAAGACAGAATTCTAATTAATATAGTGGGTTAGTCATTTCTAAGTTCCCTTCATTTTTAAGATTCTCTAAGTATAAAATAGGAGCTCTGGTAGCATAGTGCCTAAGGCACTTGACTGCTAACCAGAAGGCTGACGGTTCAAATCCACCAGCCACTCCTCGGAAGGAAGGTTGGGCAATCTACTTCCGTAGTGATACTGCCTCGGCAACCCAAGGAGGGGTTGCTATGAGTTGGGTCCAACTCGACGGCACAACAAGAAGTATAAGATGGAGACAACACTTTTGCTCCTTTCAGTAGATATGGCCGTGAAGCACCATCAGTTTCCTGGTCAGCAAACCAGGCAGTGATTTTGATCAGATAAGATCCAGATAATAATCTTTATGAAGTATCTTTTGCCCTGAGCCTCGTGATTGGTTCAATAACTTACGTCAAGAGCAACCTGGACAATTTGAATGAACATTGTTTTTTTTTTTTTACCTCTTCTCAACATTATGACATTTAACACCTTTTCTGTTTTGCCCCAGAATTTTCCATAACTATCACATTTTAGTCACATTCAGAAGTCCTTGAGTGGTGCGAATGGTTTGCACTTGGCTACTAACAAAAAGGTTGATGGTTGAAAATCATTCATTGGCTCCAAGGAAGAAAGCTCTGGTGGATCTGTTTTCATAAAGATTAAAGCCAATAAAACCCTATGGAGCTCAGTTCTATCCTAACACATGGGGTTGCCATGAGTCACAATCAACTCAAAGGTGGGTTTTGGGTTTTTTAGCCAGGCTCAGGAGTCCCAGGGTGAGGGTGGGGGTTCCAAACAGGTAACATTCAGCTGCAACTGAAAGGCTGGAGGTTCAAGTCGGGGTTTGGGGGTGGGGGAGGCTTGGTGATCTACTTCTGAAAAGTCAGCCACTGAAACCCCTATGGAACACAGCTTTACTCTGACATATGAGGTTGCTATGAGTTGGAATCAACTAGACAACAAATGGTTTTAGTCAAACTCAGAAAAACTGTATTTTCACTGGATCTGAAATCAATGAAACATCTTAAAACTAGACACACAAGAAAGATTTAATGTAAAACTTACCTTCAGTCCTATTTCAAAATCAAGAACATCTTACCAGTTTTAAGTACTAAAGATTTTGATTCCAAAACAGAATTTGCATTTTTGCAAATTTTTAATTTGCAAATTTTAAAGTACCTAACAAACTATTTGTCAATTTAGATCTTATCTTTTCCAAATATTAAAACATAAGATTAATCATCGCCCTTAATTATAAAAATACATTATTAGTTACTTTTTATCTACTTTAAGATTTTGAACATTTAACAATAAAGAAAATATAAAACCATGAAAATAAAACCAAGAAAAAATTTAAAGGCCTATTTAAAGGCCTATTAGAAGCCAATTAGAAAAAGAGAAAGGTAACAGGTACCTATAATAAATTGGTTATTAAAATTGGGCATTAAATTTATCTCTGAGGGAAAAAAACTTCCATATATAATAAGATGCTTTTTCCTAAAGTTTTATTTGTAAGATACTTGTTGTTAGGTGCTATTGAGTTGATTCCGACTCATGGTGTGACCGTATGTAAAACAGAATGAAACACTAGTGGGTCCTGCACCATCCTCACAGTTGTTTCTATGTTTGAGTCCACTGTTGGAGCCACTGGGTCAGTCCATCTCATTGAGGTTCCTCCTCTTTTTTGATGACACTCTATCAAGCATGATATCCTTCTCCAGGGACTAGTCCCTCCCGATAACATGTCCAAAGCATGTGAAGTCTGCACCATTCGTCCATCTAAGGAACATTATAGCTATACTTTTTCCAAGACAGATTTGTTCATTCCTCTGGCAGTCCATAGTATATACAGTATTCTTTGCTAACACCATAATTCAAAGGCATCAATTCTTCTTTGGTCTTCCTTATTCAATGTCTAGCCTTCCCTTGTATATGAGATGATTGAAAATACTGGGTATTTTGGGTCAGGGGCACCTTTGTCCTCAAGGTGACATGTTTCCTTTTTAACACTTTAAAGTCTTTTAAAGTGGTCTTTTGCAGCAGATTTGCCCAACAATACTTGTTGTTGTTAGTTGCTGTCAAGTTGGCTCTGACTCATAGCGACTCTATATACAACAAATGAAACACTGCCCAGTCCCGCACCATCCTTATAAACCTTGCTGTACTTGAGCCCATCATTGCAGCCACTGTGTCAATCCATCTCATTGAGGGTCTTCTGCATTTTCAGTGACCCTCTGTTTTACCAAGCATGATATCCTTCTATAGGGACTAGTCCCTTCTGACATCATGGCCAAAGCAGGTGAAATGAAGTCTGGCCATTCTTGCTTCTAAGGAGCATTCCAGCTGCACTCTTCTTCCAGGACAGATTTGTTTGTTCTGGCAGTCCATGGTATTTTCTTTATTCTTCGTCAGTACCACAATTCACATTCTAATAATAGAGAATCCAAAAATTATCTGTATTAACTGTTCTCTTCAATTATTCTGGTATTCAATCATTTAAAAAAACCTCACAGAAACAGTACATGTCCAGGACCCTAATCAATCAAGAGCTGAGTCTCAAACAAACAATACACTTGGCCTCTCCTGTATTCTTTATATTTTTTCTGAAAATTCTGAAGGTTATTGAGGTGGAGATGGAAAATTTATCTAAGGTCAAGAAAACTGTAGAAGGCATAGTGATTTCAAAAACTAATTTTAAAAACATCAAGTAAATGATAAAATACTTAGTGTTGATAGAACCAAACCAAACCAAACCAAACCAAACTAAACTCACTGCTGTCAAGTCAGATCCTACTCATAGTGACCCTCCTTGGGTTTCTGAGGCAGTAACTCTATGGAAGTAGATTGCCCAACCTTCCTTCCAAGGAGTGGCTGGTGGGTTTGAACCGCCAGCCTTCTGGTTAGCAGTCAGATGCCTTAGGCACTACACCACCAGAGCTCCCTTAGTGTTGACAGTTTACTAAATTTAAACAATATTTCTAAAAATACCATTTTGAGGAAAAACTTAACTTTTTATTAACTTGATGCTTCTGAACATAATAAAATAAATGAACACAAAATATCAGTTTACTTAGAAGAGAAGCTAAACTGCATTTACCTGAAAATGCATAGAAAAGATATGTACATTTAAGCAGACATTATCAATTCTGTTAGGATAATGATTATGAATGTACTTCAGCAATACTGAAAAGTTTTATATAATTGCTAGTCTGAATACTTCAATAGTTTACCCAAAATGAAAAAGATGTCACAAAAATAAAGTAGCAAAAATGCACCTGAGGTTAGAAATGATTGTATCTACCACAATCACACACAAATATTTAGATATTTCCTTTAGGACATGTTGCCTCTTTTCTTTTGCAAAGCTTTCATGAGATCTGACATAAAATCTTGCTCCCCACTTCCTCCCCCGCTGGGTAGACCAGGGTTCTCTTGCCTCTTTGGGGGAATGGGAGCCTTTTTGGTGGCAGTGGGAGGCAGCTGCCTGGATTCAGGTGTGAGAGTAGGTGGGGGTGGCGGAGGAGGTGGTAAAGACCCGACGCCTCCTGCAATTGTAGGTGGTGGGGGAGGTACAAAGTCCGGGGGAGCTTCATGAAAATCTGGGGGTGGCGGGGGTAGCTCGTCCTCTTCCAAAGGTGGTGGCGGTGGCGGTGGTGGCAGAAAATCAACAGGTGGGGCTGGGAAGCCACTGGCGGTGCTCTTGGGCTTCAAGGGTAACACTGGGCTGCTGTTTGTGTCTGATGATCGTCGCACAGGTGGGAGCGGTGGCTGGCTGGACTTGGGAAGGTGATTGGCTCTGGGCACTTTGGGGTCGTTGTTACCAAGGGCTGGCACATTATCCTTGAACAAAGCAATAACATCTATTATTCCTACTTCCACTTAAAAGATAAAACAAGCCACCATCGTGATGACATTTCCATTGATACGTGAGATATGGGTGTCAGCCCATGGTGGAACTCAGTCACAGTCTCTGGGACTATATTGGTGTTAATGAGCTCATCTTTGCTCTAGGATAAGAAGGATGAATCCAAATGATTTTTAACACTCATCCCTCTTGTTCTCTAAATGAAAGACTGCTACATTCAATGAGGCATTTATTATAAGGAGTTCTGGCAGTGTAGTGGTTAAGGTATTTGGCTTCTAATGAAAAGGTCAGTGGTTCAAACCCACCAGCATGAGACAGTCTGCTTCTGCAAAGATTTACAGCCTTGGAAACTCAATAGGGGTCACTATGAGTCAGAATCTACTTGATGGCAGTGAGTTTTTTTTTTTTTAATTTATTGTAATTAGATTGTACAAACATCTCCTTGGAACCTACCTTCTATGGGTGCTATGCCCTTTTAGGGCATTCCAAAACCAAACTCACTGCTGTCAAGTCGATTCAACTCCTAGCAAACCCTCCTTGGGTTTCCAAGGCAATATCTCTATCTCTGTTGCCCAATCTTCCTTCAGAGGAAGTGGCTGGTGGGTTTGAACTGCCAGCCTCCTGGTTAGCAGTCAAATGCCTTAGGCACTACACCACCAGAGCTCCCAGAAGGGCATTAGTGGTATGGATTTTAGCTAGCTGTGGTGATCTCAGTCTTTTCCTACCAGCTAAGGTTCAGTCTATAGTCCTTGGGTGACAGTAGACAGCTTGTACTTCTTCACTAAACTGAAAGCTGGCAGTTGGAACCCACACAACAGCACTTCAGGAGAAGGCCTGGCAATCTGCTTCTGTAGAGATTACAGCCAAGAAAACCCTGTGGGGCAGTTCTACTCTGCAACACACGGGATGGCCAGCAATGGGTTTGGTTGCTTGGCTTATGGTTCAGCCTAAGGCAACTCAAAATGGAAGAAAATGGCATTCCTAGACTGCCTACTTACTCCTTAGTTCCAAGGATAGTGCCACTGGGGTCCTAAGAATATGCAAGATAGAAATTCTCCTTGGTATGAGTTGAACTGGTTGTCAGATATAGGTATCTGTAAAATTATTTCTTCTTTTTCTTTTTTCTACTAACTTATTCTCGTAATTTGGGTAAAGTTGACAGACCAAATTGGTTTCCCATTGAACAGTTCATACCCATTTTGTTTTGTAACACTGATTGTAATCCCCATAATGTAACAGCCTTCTTCCCAGCTACTTCCTGTGGTTACCATTATAGTTTGTCTTTCTTATCTGTCCCCCCTTCCTGCCTTCTGAGCTTTATCCCCAGGCTAATGCTGCCACATTGATCTCATATGGTTGATTGTTCTAAGGAGTACACACCTACCTGGTGTTGTTTACTTACAGGCCTGCCTATTGTTTGGCTGAAAATTGAGCCTCAAGGGTGAACTGTGAAATTACTTTGTTCTTGTGCCAAACCCTCAGTTGCAGAGGTGGTTAAACCAAAACCAAATCAAACAAGTTGTCAAGTCAACTTTGACTCATGGCAACCCATGTGTGTCAGACTAGAACTTCGCTCCATAAGGATTTTGATGGCTGACTTTTTAGAAGTAGACTGTACTTCTAGGTGGACTCAAACCTCCAACCTTTCTGTTAGCAGCTGAGTGCTTAACTGTGTGCACTACCCAGGAACCAGAAGGGTTGGAGGTTTGATTATATCTGGTGATGTACTATTATTATTATTGTTTAATTCCAGAAGAGGCAGCTTGGGAATTGGTGATCAACATAATGTAGTGATATCTATTCTGGGATTTTTGTGTTGCTTCCTTTTTTTTTTAAATGCTGCTTCTCAATTTTCATGATAGAAATCATTAAAATAGTAGCTGAAAGCACATTGCATGATGAGGTTGTCAGACCAGAGATGATAACAAGATTATTAGAGAAACACAACTTTTAAAGGTCTACAATAGTTTTTAAAAACTATCAGAACTTCAATAAATAACCATGATTTAACTGTTTATACCACTGGCTAATGGACAGAATGAAGGGGAGAATGAAACTAAACATACTAACTGCAATAGCTGGGTGGTCTGCTATTGTCAGAATCATATAATTTTGATTCACATATGGGAAATATTAAATGGAACTTTGATGTTATAAATACGATTAATAAATACTTTACAATTATTACATAGATTTAAATAAATCCTCAATCTACTTTTTAAAAACAGTCATGGAGAATATTATACCAATTAGGCTTTTTTTCTTCTCAACTGTTTGCTCAGCTGTGGTAAAATGTATGTGTGTGTGTATTTAATATATAATAGATTATAAGAGCTTTGGTGGTGTAGTGCCTAAGGCATTTGACTGCCAACCAGAAGGCTGGCGGTTCAAACCTATCAGCCACTCCCCGGAAGGAAGACTGTGCAATCTACTTCCATAGTGATACCGCCTTGGAAACCCAAGGTACGGTCACTATGATTTGGATCTGACTCAATAGCAGCGAGTTTGGTTTTTTAGTTTAATAGATTGTATAATGCTTTATATATTAATGAGCCCTGGTGGTGCAATGGTTAAGCACTTGGCTGTGGCTGCTAACTGAAAAGGTGGCAGTTTGAACATACCCAACGACTTCATGGGAGAAAGATGTGGCAGTCTGCTCCTGTAAGGATTACAACCAAGAAAACCCTACAGGGATGTTCTGCTCTGTCACATGGGGTCCTATGAGTTGAAACTGATGCAAGGATATTGAACAACAACAATGTATGTATATCAGAAGTATGAACAAAGTATACTGAGACTCTAGAGAAAAACAACAAAAACATAGTTGCTGTTGAGTCAGTTGTGACTCATGATGAACACATGTCAGAACAGCACTGTACCCCACAGCCTTTTCCATGGCTGTTTTTTTCAGAAGTAGATTACCAGGCCTTCCTTCCAAGCCACCTCTAGGTGAACTCAAAGGTCCAACCATTTAGTTAGCAGCCAAGCACATTAACCATTTGCACACCCAGAGACTCGAACTTGTGAATGAAGAAAATTGAGAAAGGGATAATTAATTCTTCATGGAGAAATAAGAGAGCTTCAAAAAGAAATGACATTTGATATGGGCCTTGAAAGCAATATAGGATTTTGTTATATAAGTGGGCAGTACAGTCGGGAAGATATCCCAGTATGGAGAAAAAGGAAAGCAAACTACAAAGAAGTGAATGCCTTTGGAGTGATTCAGGAATAGCAAATAGTCTGTTGTTGTTATGGGCCATCGAGTCAGCCCCGACTCCTAGCGACCCCTCCTTGGGTTTCCGAGGCAGTATTACTACGGAAGTAGATTGCCCAACCTTCCTTCCAAGTAGTGGCTGGTGGGTTTGAACTGCCAGCCTTCTGGTTAGCTGTCAAGTGCCTTAGGTACTACGCTACCAGAGCTCCAGCAAATAGTCTAGTGTGGGTGGAATGCCAGGTTCAGGATAGTGAATAGCAAGAGATGAGGCAGCATGTGAAAGATTTCTAAGTCCAAGGTAAGAAATTTGGCTTTATCTTGTAGGTAAAGGGTAAAGATAAGTCTTTAAGCAAAAAAATGAGTAACATGATCAGATTTATCAACTTTGAAACACTATTACAAGGGAATGATTCAACTTGTCAAAATAAATAACTAAATAAAAAATACTTACCAATCTCCATCACACACACAAAAAACTTCTTATACTTTCCCAAAGCACTGCGATAATAGCTAGTTTTAACTTTCAATTTCTGGCCTGTATTACTTGAAGATTAAAAAATATAAGCAATTACCTAAATGATATTATACTGACTTCGTAGTTGTTAGAACTGTATTTTCTCCTGTTAAAATAGCAGTAGTTATTAAAACACTGCTTGTTGTTAGTTGTTGTCTAGGCAATTCTGACTCCTGGTGACCCATGTGTTGGAGAACACAACTATGTTCTATAGGTTTTTAAGGCCGTAACTTTTCAGAAACAGATCAGCAGGCTTGTCTTCCGAGACTCCTCTAAGTCAAACAGCCAACCTCTCAGCTAGTAGCTGAGCACTTAACCATTTGCGCGACCCCAGAATGCTGCTGCTGCTCTGCTGTTAGGTGCTGTTGAGTTGGCTCCAACTCACAGCAACCCTAGGTACAGCAGAATGAAACAATGCCCAATCCCGCACCAGACTCACACTATTTGCTGTGCCCATCGTTGCAGCCAGAATGGTGCTAGTGATTTAGAATGTAGGCTCCCAGGGGACCGTTGGATAGGATGCATGTAAATCACTCCTTGGCCTTACCTTAGTCGTTTCAACATGTCTCTGGGCTTCAGTGAGAACCACACTAACAGAATGTGCAGCCTGAGGAATCTGACCATTGGGCTGGGCGGGGCCGGGTTTAAGTCCTGAGAAGGAAGAACAGAGAAAAAAAAGACTGGGCAAGCCATGTTCAACATTCTTGAAAGTTAATCTAAAGAAAAAGGGATTTATAGGCATGGTGTGGTAGACAGGCCTTATGAAAAAAAAACACCTCACTTTCTACAGCAAAACTGTAGGAGCTCTTGTAGCGTAGTGCCTAAGGCACTTGACTGCTAACCAGAAAGCTGGTGGTTCAAACTCACCAGCCACTCCTTAGAAGGAAGGTTGGGCAATCTACTTCTGTAGCCCATGAATAGTGCATCCGTAGTGATACCACCTCAGAAACTCAAAGAGGGGTCTCTGTGAGTCAGGTCTGACTCGACGGCACATAACAACAACAATAATAGCAAAACTGTATGTGGGATACAGCAAAAGGTTCAGGGCAGTAAACACTTTATAAAGGCTAGAAAGTAAAATCTGGATTAACTGGGGGACTAGAGAATGACATGTTCTGCTATTTAAAACTTCCTAGTAACTGAAGAATAAACCCTGAAAATCTCTTTCTTTTCAGTTTCTATTGCTGAAGCTTTCTTTCTGAAATGAATTTCTCCAGTTTTATACCATACTGAATACAGGAAACACTTTTGAACATTATCCTCAACAAAAAGTACTGTAGACACAGAAAATAGGAAGAGGGGATTGGGCAAAATGTGTAAACTTCCAGATACATCCTGGAATTACATTTTTCCCCTAAAAGTCCTGTTACACATTCATTTTATTTTTCTCTGCCTTCACCCACCCCTTCAAAGGTATGACTAATTGAGGTTTCACGGTTTTGAGAGAATCAGATAGTATGTTCATTTCTGCAGCTCCAAGGAGAGCCTCCTGAAGGAAAATGGAGAAGATGGCAATGCTGCCACACACTCAACACCTCACTCCCATCAGGGAACCACACTCCCACCCCCAGCTCATGTTAGTAGGTTTTTTACTCCTCCTGAGAGGACAGAATAGTTTCAGCTGCATTCAGGCAAACAACAGACAGGCATATGGAGTGAACATTTACCTCAGGTAGATACACTCCTTGGAGCAATCAGTCATGGGAGAACAAAAGGGCAGTGTTTGCACAGGGAGACAGCCCAGGGGCAGGAGTTCATAGGAAAGAAGGACACAGGGAAGAGGTGACTATGGGGAGGAAGTGGGAAGAGAGGTGTTACACTGTGAGGAATTACAGTCATTGTCATGAAACAAAATGTGTATGAACTGCTGTATGGAAAATGAATTTATCCTGTAAACTTTCATCCAAATCACAATTTTTTTTAAGAGCTTGTTTTATATTCAATGTTGTGTGTACATTTAGTTTCATTCCCCATTTACCATGTCTGACCCTAACCCAGTCTCCTCCCCTCCCTACACTGTAACCCTTCCCCTGTGCCTCTCATATTTATGCACTCCTATTTGTCCTGCATTTCCTCAATTTGAATGTTGATCCTCTGGTGTCCCGTGGTCTATTGCTCTAAGGGATGTATTACCATAGACTATGTGGGTGTGTCATCTTGGGTTGAGTGGTCTGCCTGTACATCTTGTTAACTATTGGGCTGAGAGCCAGCCCCTGGGGGTGAGTTTTATTTCAGGCGCAGAAGGTATTCCAGGGCCATAGTATTAGGGGTCTCACCAGATTTCATCTGACCAGTAATTCTTGTCATTATTGAGTTTTTGGATTGTGTTCCATGTTTTTCCTCCCACTCTATCCAGGATCTCCAGATTTGATCCTTTCCTGAGTGGTTGGCATTGGTAGTCACGCACCATCTGGTTCTTCTGGTCTAGAGGGCCATTGTGTCCTAGGGCTGATTGCTTCCAAATGCCTTTTTTTTTTTTTTTTTTTGCATTCTTCTTTGCTTCTGATGCAAAGGACCCCAGTTGCTACTAACCAATGTAGGATGTGGAGCAGGGCTTTTATGTATTTTGTTGTGCCAATTGAGTCTGCTGTCCCCCAGTACTATGGTCCTGATATAGTATATCTATTGGATCTCTCTCCAATAGTGTCTGGTTGTCTGTGAGGGATTACTTTGTGTGTGTCTTCTATTGTTTCTGTAAGGACTGCAGGTATTTTGTATCACTGATGTCTGTGCAAGATCACCCTCAGCTGAACCTATCCTTGGTCAAGTATACTTATGTTCACTGATCCCTGTCTGATCATCTCAGGTGTTTATCTGTAGCCTGGTGTTTGGTGTTAATGGCAATGCAGTATTGTGGACACATTGGTTGGTATTATCATTTGTTGTCTATCTCTTATGTGCACAATTCGGTGTCCTTCCATTTCCTAATGTTATCACGGTGGCCACAGAGCGTTCCTGTATATTCCTCCCCCTACCCACATCAGCACATAGGCCCCAACTAGCCTGAAATTAATCCCTCCCTTTCCCAGTAACCTACTGTGGTAGTTATGTTTGTGTGTCAACTTGGCTGGGCCTGGTTGAGTGGCTGGGCAGTGGTGGTAATTATTCCCCATGATGAGACTGGCAATCAACTCCATGGTGGGATTTATCACAAGCAGCTGAGTAGTTGCCTTTGGGATATGGTCATAAAATGAGTTTGGGAGTATTCCATCTTTTTCTGTGTTCTGGAACAGCTTGAGTAGCACAGGTGTCAACTCTTCTCTGAATATTTGATACAATTCTCCAGTGAAGCCATCAAGGCCAGGGCTTTTCTTTGTGGGAAGTTTTTTCTATGACCTGTTCAATTTCTTCTTTTGTTATAGGTCTGTACAAGTTATCTATCTCTGAGTGGGATAGTTTAGCTAGGTCTTGTGATTCTAGAAACTTGTCCATCTCTTCTAGGTTCTCAAACCTGTTGGAGTACAGTTTTTCATAATATTGTCAGTATCTTTTTTATATCATTTGGTTCTGTTGTGATGACACCATTTTTGTTTACAATTCTTGTGATTTAGATCTTCTTTTCTTTTGTTAGAGCTGCCACTGGTTTATTGATTTTATTAATCTTTTCAAAGAACCAGCTTTTTTGTTTTATTGATTTTCTCTGGTTTTTGTTTTGTTTTCTGTTTCACTTATTTCTGCTCTGATCTTTATTATTTCCTTGCTTCTAGATACTGTAGAATTCTTTTGTTGTTCTATTTCTGGTTGTTGGAGTTGATGAGTTAGAGTGTTGATTTTGTTACTTTCCTCTTTTTTGATGTATGTATTTATTGCTATAAACTGGCTGAGTACTGCTTTCACTGTGTCCCATGGGTTTTGGTATGACATACTTTCATTCTCATTTGTTTGTAGGAATTTTTTTTTTATTTCAGTTTTTATCTGTTCTGTTACCCAGTAGTTTTTGAGTAGTGAGTTGTTCAGCTTCCATATGTTTGATGCTTTTTCCTTGCTCTCCCTATTATTAATTTCTAATTTTATAGCATTGTTGTCCTAGAAGATGTTTTGTAGTATTTCAATGCTTTTGAATTTTTTGAGGCTTGTTTTATGTCCTAACATATGGTCTATTCTGATCCATGTGCACTGGAGAAGAATGTAAATTGTGCTTTTGTTGGGTGAAATGCTCTGTATATGTCTATGAGGTCAAGTTGGTTGATTATATTGTTGAGTTCTTCTGTATTTTTGTTGAGTTTTTTTCTAGTTGACCTGATCCTCTTTGAAAGTGGTGTGTTAAAGTCTCCTACTACTATTGTAGAGTTGTCTTTTATCCCTTTTAATTCAATTAGTTAATATTTGCCTCACATAATTTGGAGCACTTTCATTGGGTGCATAAATATTTATTATTGTAAAGTCTTCTTTGTCAATTGACCCTTTCAGCATCATATAATGTCCTTCTTTATCTTTTATGATGTTTTTCACCTTAATGTCTATTTTGTCAGAAATTAATATTGCCACTCCTGCTCTTTTTTGGTTTCCATGGCTTGGTATATTTTTTCCATCCCTTAACTCTTAATTTGTTTTTATCTTTGTGTCTAAGGTGGGTCTCTTGTAGGCAGCATATTGATGGGTCTTTTTTTCTTATCCAGTCTGCCATTCTCTTTCTCTTGATATGTGCATTTAGTCCATTCACTTTGAGTGTAATTAGTGATAGGTATGAATTTATTGCTGTCATTCTGTGTTTTTTTTTTTTTTTTTTTGTCGTGTTGTTGGTGTTTCCTTGGTCCATATATTTTTCTGTGCTGAGTTTGGTTTGTTGGCTAATGCTTTCTCCCTTTTCTTCTTTATTGTTGGTTTTTTGCTTATTAAACCCATATGTTTTCCTTCCTTCTGGATTTGCTTAAGGGGATTGTTACTTTTCTCTGTGGTTACCCTGGAGTATATTCTTGTCTATACATTTTCAGAACAGTGTGTCCTGTTTTCCTCTCCATTTGGAAGTTTGTACCTAGAAGTTTTATTCCCTCTGATAGGTTAGTTGCTGTTGTTGTGTGCTGATTGACTTCCTTGGTTTTTAGAGTACAATGTTTTTATGGTCTTATTTTGAGTTTCTATTTGTGATTTGGTTTTAGTGTTGATGCCATGTATCCTGATTTTGTTGATCTCTGTTGTGGGTTCTCTATTGGAAGAACTTCCTTAAGCATTTCTTGCAGGGTTGGTCTGGTTTTTACACAAAATCCCTTAATTTCTGTTTGTCTGAGAATGCCTTGATTTTGCCCTCATATTTGATGGATAATTTGGCTGGATATAGGATTCTTGGTTGGAAGTTCTTTTCCTTCAGTGTTTTATATATGCTGTCCCATTGCCTTCTTGCCTGCATTATTTCTGCTGAGTTATTGGAGCTCAGCCTAACTGTTTGATTATTATAAGTAATATTTCTTTTGTCTCAGGCAGCTCTCAAAATTTTTGTCTTTGGTTTTGGAGAGTTTAATTATAATATGCCTTGATGTTTTTCTCTTGGGATCCATCTTGTGTGGGGTTCTATGAGCTTCTTGGACAAATATCATTTCTTCTTTCATGATATGGGGGGAGTTTTCTCTTAGCAGGTCTTCTACAATTTTCTCGATGGTTTGTTTCACCTCTTCTTGTTCTAGAATTCCAATGAGTATTTTGTGGTTTCTTCTCATGTCATTGCATATAATTCTTGGGTTCTCTTCATTTCTTTTAAATCTTTGTTTTGATTTTTCTTCATACAGGCTGGTGTCCAGGGATTTGTCTTCTAGTTGGGTTATGCGTTCTTCAGCCAGTTCTAGCCTACTCTTTTGTGCTTCTACTGTGTTGTGTAATTCTGTAACTTTGGTATTCATCTTCTGGATTTCTAACTGCTGTTTTTGTATGAGTTCTGATTGTGCATTAATCTTTTTATTTTGTTCTTGAATGATTTCCTAAGTTCTTCCAGGCAACTGTCTGTGCTCTCCTTGTTTCTTTTTGGTGTTTCCTTAGGCTCTTGTAAAGCTCTAAAAACGTATCTTCTAAATTCTTTCTCAGGTAATTCTATTGCCTCCCCTTCCTCCATGTTTAATGAGACCTTTGTGGTTTTGCTTCTAATGCCTTGTCCTTTTTTTTTTTGTTTGTTTGATTTGAGGTTGTCTGTTGTTTCCTAGACATTTTGAGGTTGTCTTTAGCTGTTGGTTATGGATTGACTTGTTTTGTCTTGGTTTTATGGTTTAATATTTTGAAAAGGTGAAGCTGGTGTATTTTAATTTTTTAGTTATTAATTCAGATATTCTGGGTTGCTCTGCAGTTTTCTTTGTGATGGTAGAATCACTGTGTGGAATGTGGATATAGGTTTCTGTTTGTCATAAAGAGGGTTTAGAGTTCAAACCAGGAGATTTTATGTTGGCTGAATATGGTTTCTTGTATTGGATGAGTGATGTTATTGGTGGAGAAGGTGGGAGCAGAAGAAGGAAAGCTCACTGTTAGTAGGGGTAGTTTCTAGGGCTTTGAGCGGGCTTCTATCAATGACATCATACTGTTATTTACAGGCCCACAGCTCAATTTCAGCAAAGACTCCAGTTTTTAGGGCGTTGCCACTTTCCACCAGCCACAGACACATGCAAAAACCCCACTTTCAAGGCCCCTCAGCGCCACAAAGCTGACCCAAGACAACTTCCCAGCTCTGCGATCCGCTGCAGGAGTTTCTCTCTCTGGCCCTGCCCGCCCACTGTGCCAGCCCAACTGGCCCAGACCACGATCCACCTTGGGAGTTCCTCTGTGGGTCTGCCCACCTGCGGCACCAAAGATCCATTCGATTTCAGTGGCGCTGGAGTTGGGAAAGTGCCTGCTAGTAATCTGTGGTCCCAATATTACTGATAAAGTCAAGTGCAGGCCTCTCAGTGCCACTAAGCTGACCCAAGCCTACTCAGTGACCCACTGTGGGGGCACCTCCCTGCCCCCCCCCCCCAGCACCAATGGATCCTCTGCTCGGGTTTCAGCAGCATTGGACGTGACTGTTTGTACCTAGCCAACCCAAGTTACTGATAAAATCAGGTGCTGAAGGTAGATCCTTGGGGTGATAGCTGGTATGCTGGTGTGGTGTGTCTTCTTCCTTAACTCAGGGAGGTCTTGGATGGCCATTCTCGCCTGCCGGTCACTCCCCCAGGGAAGTATCTGATAGCCTTTCTCAGCTGCCTGTCACCACTCTGCAGAATAGATCTTCTGATCTTGTTATTTTTTTTTTTTTCCTTTACCCTTCTCCTTTCTAATTCTACTCCTTTGAGTTTGGTGCACTCTGACTCAGTGAGCTGTTCAGAGCACCAGAATCCCTAATTCAAACTGCTGTACCTAGTTTTTCAAGCACTAAGATGCTAGAAGGAAATAGCATGGTGATTACTGACGAGACTCCGTTTTGAATCCACAATAATTTTTTTTTTTTTAAAAACGTGTACTATATTACTGAGAAATCAGTCTGTGTATATATTTGGGCAAAAGAAGGAAAGAGAAAATATTTTTGTTCTTTAAAGGAGTTTCCCCCAGTAGTCTTCATTATTCAACTTTAATTTCTATTTACTTTGTACAGAGTAAAAGGAAAGACAGGGTTTTGTATACATATACCAAGAGGGAGGAGGAAAAAGAAAGGATAAAGAGAAAGACCAAAGGGAATGAGAAGATTGAGCACTTTTGAATCTAAGATTAAATCTTACTGTTGCTTCTCCACCACCAGCGTAAAAATTTAGCTACACCAGAGCTCTTTAAAGAAGATAATTAAAAATCAAACTCAGTGCCATTGAGTTGATTCTAATTTATAGCAACCCCCATTGGGTATCCATTCCCAAGGCTGTAAATCTTTATGAAAGCAGACTGCCTCATCTTTCTTCTGGGAAGCAGCTGGTGGGTTCAAACCACAGACCTTTTGGTTAGCAGCCAAATGCCTTAAACACTATACCACCAGAGCTCCTGTAAAGACTGATGAGCCTAAAAAGTGGTTATCTAGAAGACAAAACATGAATCATACTTAAATGATTCTGATTTTTCCCACGGACATATACATCTGTTAGAGGGAATGACCTTTTACTCTGCTAGACCAAGAGAGCCAGATTAGCTCTCAATGGAATTTATGAAGTAAGGACTCAATCCTAAAGTATGAATCATAATTATTTTTTTTTTGATGTCCTGAGTGTAGGCAGCAACATATGAGACTGGTTGAAGAGCATTTTATGGAACAAGCCCTTACATTACCTTTAGAGTTATGTCAGCTAACCTAATAAAACCAAACTCACTGCCATGGAGTCAATTCTGACTTATAGCAACACCCATTGGGTTTCCAAGGTGGTAAATCTTTACAGAAGTAGATTGACCTATCTTCCTTCTATGAAGTGGCTGATGGTTTTGAACCACCAACCTCCTGGTTAGCAATTAAATGCCTTAGGCACCAGAGCTTCTTAGGGTTATATCACAGGAATGCTAATTTTAGAAGAGACGCATATATGTTGACTCCTGGAAGCAGCTCAGAGGAAGAAACTGGGGCTATTTCTTTAGCCTCTGTCAATGAGCAGGACTTATGGCTTAAGCATCTGCCCCCAGAGAGTGCCCAGGGATCTTTACTGGAAAGGAGGCCAACAAGGTATCCCAAATGGTGTCAGGATGGCTATACCTCAAAGACGGGCTAAATATACCTCATGGTGAGGGGAATCTTGAAAGCTTAGGAACTATCAACTGCTATTTTACTGCCAAGCTGAAGGACTAATACAATTAGAATACCTTTCTAAGGTCTTTGAGACCCACCTCCTAGATTAGTCTCAAAACTAACAAACAAAACAAAACCAGCTGTTGTCAAGCCGATTCTGACTCAGCAACCTGATGTGTGTCAGAGCAGAACTTTGCCCCGATGGGTTTTCGACCTTTCAGAAGCAGATTGCCAAGTCTGTCTTCTGACGTGCTTCTGGGTAGATTCAAATGTCCGATCTTTCAGTCAGTAATTGAATGCTTAAGCATTTGTGCCAGCCAGGGACTCCTAGATCAGTCTCAGCAATCCTTTAGTTATTAATTCAACAAATATTTACTATATGCCAGGCCTGCAAACTCTGGGGATGCAATGTGAAGCAAGCAGAAATGGTCTTTGCCTTTTTGAGACTTAAGAGTCTAGTGGTGAACACAGGCGACAGACTGTTAATGAATATATGGAAGTTAATGAATATGTGATTATACATGGTAGTAAGTGCACTGAAGAAAAGAGGGTGCTGTGATATTCTCCAACTCGGACAGAAACACTTCCAGAAAACTCACCAGTCATAGATAGCTAATGAAGGTAACTTTAAACACTGGGTCTAATCTATCTCATTGTAACTTCTACACTCACAAGCTGGTGTGACCCTTTAAACCACGGAAGAACATATAGTGGCCTTTCCAGTATTCCTTTAATACTGGAAAACAGCTATAAGGCTCTTCAGTAGTAAATGGTTCCCATCCTTTCAATCATTACTGATCATAAAGACCATGTGCTTGAATCAGACAAGCCAATGAGAAGGTATTAGATACTAGCTTCCCCCAGCTTCAGTTTCCTCAACTGTAGAGGGGGGATTATCATCTATACTTTGCAGGGTAGTTGTAAGAACCAGGAACCATACATGTAAAGGAGCAAAGAGTACCCACGCCATCCTTCAGGGTCTTCTCTCTTTTAAAAATACAAGCTAGTAGCTATTATGTAGCCCTTACACTGTAATGTCCAGGTTTGGGTACAAGGCTCTAGACATGATGTCACTGAGACAAAATACCAGGGAATGATTTCATCCTTGGATTTGAATGTTCCTCTGGGTACCAACAAGGAGCTCTGGTGGTACAGTGCCTAAGGCATCTGACTGCTAACCAGATGGCTGGTGGTTCAAACCTACCAGCTGCTCTGCTGAAGGAAAATGGGGCAGTTTACTTTTGTAAAGATTTACTGCCTTGGAAATCCAGTGGGGGTCGCTATGAGTTGGAATCAGTTTGATGGCAGTGGGTTTGGTTTTGTTTTTTTGCTGGGGTACCAACACAGCCTTGGACAAATATAACATTTGTGCTCTGAGGAGACATATCTGCCTACTAGTTCATCCTAAACTGGTGATCACCTTACCCACAAGTAGAGCTTGAAAAAGTGGTCAAACTTTGCTATAAGTTATTTATAAGAAAATAGATCTGGAGGGGTGTGTGTGAAGGGTGGATATTGAGCCTGACTAACAAGAGAGAAGCATATTCTGCATAGTGTCTACTGAATTCTGTTTTTATAAAATGGGGTATATTGTGAACAAGAGCTCTGAGCATTGAATACATGTCAGAATTTCTCTGCTTATTACCTGTAGAAGGTTGAGCTGGCGTAGCGGGGTTGACAGTCCCCAGGTTTGTCCACCGAGAGGCAAGCCCAGCTCTTGCCACAGACCGCTGATAGTTATCATAAAGAGTCTTTCCATACTAAGGAGGGAAATAAAAAAGGAGAAAGTAACTTGTTTAGGAAAGTCTGGCAGTCAATTGCAATATACACATTAAGGTGACAAAATATCCCATGACTACTCTTTTCATTCCTTGCTGAAATTTTTTGTTAATATAAATGCTCTTTTGATAAAATAATTCACAAATTGCTTATTAAATACATTTCAGATTTACCTCAGTCAGTTATCACTTTTACTTACATGTGAAAGGAGAGCTTTAGCCATGCAATTCTGATGGCGTATGTCTCTACATAACTCTATTGTAGATTACCTCTTGCATTAATTGCACACTAAGCTTGCAAAACTTTCCGTGAGTTATCTGAAAAGGCTCATGTGAAGATCAGCTTTTGGATTTCAGGTCACGGGAGAGGTCTATGTTATTATCACTCCCACCTAATTAAAACATCTAATGGGCAAATAAGAAAGATGCTGTCTGTGGGTGTAAACCAAGAATGGCTCAACCGTTTCACAGGAGCTCAAAGACCAGACACAAGCCAGGGAGTCCGTTAGCAAATTCAAGATAGGACAAAGTCCCGATGCTTTCTCACCTTGGCGATCCTGATTCCCGTGACCCATTGGTTTAGAGTCCTTGCATCATCACAGCAGAGGTACTTGATATATTGGGACTCCTTCTGAATTTGGGGGTGCTAGAAAGAAGTATTAAGAACAACGTACAAAATCTTAATTTCTTAGGAGTGCAGGATTTCAAGCCATTTGTTTTTTCACTAACAATAGGTGTGATTGACATAGATGGTGGCAAAAATTACTGATAGCATGTGATAGGTATTCCAATGGAGAGGCTATCATTGAAGAAAATAAATGAATGCAAGATTGCCTGCCCAGTCACAAGTGTTACAGCCAGAAGGTGAAGAGTAGGTAACCAAACTTAGTTCTAAGATACGTGCCATGTGAATTTTTATGGGTCATTCTAATTTCTAATACATTTTTATAATTAAATATAATTTATAATATATTAAATTATAATATAAATTATTATTTAAATAACTTTCAACCATGATCATTGTGCATTTGTTTGTAGTATACTATCCCTTTCTTCCTCTTCCTCCATTCCTAGAGTTAGGATCCTGCTGGGATCAGCAGAAACTTTTGGTGGTCCTGAAAGTGAAATGAAATGTCAAGAGAGCTAGAAGCCTTCTATCTGCTTGTAAGTGGACAGAAAAGGGGTGGGGCTTCCCAGTTGCTATATTAAGGTATTGCACTTAACCTCTCCACTTCACTTTTGCTTTCAACTTAGTCAGCTCCAAGGAAATGGTTATTTGTAGAGTTGACCTGAGCAAGGGGTGCTATTCCTTTAAACTTCAGTTTAAAGGTAGAGCTTCTTGAATCTGAGAGGCAGTATCTGGACTAGTTACCCTGCTCGTAAAAGCCAGTGGCATTGTTGTCTTCACCCAGAAAGGAGTAAGAAAAGACACGTAAACTCTTAAGATTCTAATGAGTGTTTAGTAATTTTTTATTTTACAAATGAGAAAACTGAGTGAGGCTCAGAAAGATTATTATATATTTTACCCCATGACCTACTAGAATCTTGGGGTCTCTTGACTTGCCACATAGGATTTATTTATATTATGTTATTAAGCCAAAATTCCAGATTTTAATGATTGTTGTTCTTATTAAGTACCATTGAGTCGGTTCTAACTCATAGCCACCTAGTGTACAACAGAATGAAACACTGCCCAGTCCTATGCCACCCTCAAAATCTGAGCTATGTTTGAGCACATTGTGGCAGCCACTGTGTCAATCCATTTCATTGAAGATCTTCTTTTTCACTGTAGTTTACCAAGCATGATGTCCTTCTCCAGGGACTGGTCCCTCCTGATAACACGTCCAAAGCAAGTGACACAAAATCTTGCCAACCTTGCTTTGAAGGAGCACTCTGGCTGTACTTCCTCCAAGATACATTTGTCATTTATTTTGGCAGTCCATGGTACATTCAGAGGAGCTCTGGTGGCACAGTGCCTAAGACATTTGACTGCCAACCAGAAGGTGGGTGGTTCAAACACACAAGCCACTTCGGGGAAGTTTTTTGTTTGATGGTTTATTCATTATTCTTCACCAACACCATAATACGCATGTATCAATTCTTTCTCAGTCTTCCTTATTCATTGTTCAGCTTTCACATGCATATGAGGTGACTGAAAATACCATGGCTTAGGTCAGGTGCACCTTACCACTCAAAGTGACATTTTTGCTTTTTACATTTTCAAGAGATATTTTGCAGCAGATTTCATCCAGTGCAACACATCCTTTGGTTTCCTGACTGTTGCTTCCATGGGCATTGGCTATAGATCAAAGTAAATGAAATCCTTGAAAACTTGAGTCTCTTCTCCATCTATCATGATGTTGGTTATTGGTCCAGTTGTGAGGATTTTCATTTTATGTTGAGGTGTAATCCATGCTGAAGGCTGCAGTCTTTGATCTTCATCAGTAAATTCTTCAAGTCCTCTTCACTTTGAGCAGGCAAGGTTGTATCTTCTGCATATCACAGGTTGTTAATAAGTCTTCCTCCAAACCTGATGCCATGTTCTTCATATAATCCAGTTTCTCAGATTATTTTCTCAGCATACCGATTGGATAAGTATCATGAAAGGATACAACCCTGATACACACCTTTCCTGATTTTAAACCATGCAGTATCCCCTCATTCTGTTTGAACAACTGCCTCTTGGTTTATGTACAGGTTCCTCATGAGCACAATTAAGTGTTCTGGAATTCCCATCCTTTGCAATGTTATCCATAGTTTGTTATGATCCACACAGTTAAATGCCTTTGTGAAATCAATAAAACACAGGTAAATATCTACCTGATATTTTCTGTTTTCAGCCAAGATCTAGCTGACATCAGCAATGATATCCTTCATTACATGCCCTCTTCTAAATCCAGCTTAAATTTCTGGCAGTTCCTTGTTTATGTACTGCTGCAACCATTTTTGAATTACTGTCAGCAAAATTTTACTTGCATGTAATATTAATGAAACTGTTGTATAATTTCTACATTCTATTGGATCATCCTTCTTTGGAATAGACATATGTATGGATCTTTTCTGGTTGACTGGTTAGGTAGCTGTCTTCCACATTTCTTGGTATAGACAAGTTAGCTCTTCCAGCGTTGCATCTATTTGTTGAAACATCTCAATTGGTATTCCATCAATTCCTGGAGCCTTGTTATTTGCTAATTCCTTCAGTGCAGTTTGGACTTGTTCCTTCAATAGCATTGGTTCTTGATCATATGTTACCTCCTGAATGGCTGAACATCTGTCAACTCTTTTTGGTACAGTGACTGCAAATTTCTTCCATCTTCTGATGCTTCCTGCATCGTTCAGTATTTTGCTCATAGAATTCTTCAATATTGCAACTCGAGGCTTGAATTTTTTCTTCAGTTCTTTCAATTTGAGAATGTTGGTGTGTTCTTCCCTTTTTTCCCTAACTCCAGGTCTTTGCACATTCATTATAATACTTTGTATTCTTGAATTGCTCTTTGAAAATTTCTGTTCAGTTCTTTTACTTCATTTCTTCTATTTGCTTTAGCTATTCTATGTTCAAGAATAAGTTTCAAAGTCTCTTCTGATGTCCTCTGATTTTGGCCTTTTGTTCTCTGTCTTTTTAATAAACATTTGCTTTCTTCATGTATGGTATCTTTAATGTCATTTCACAACTTGTCTGGTCTTCTGTCCTAAGTGTTTAATGCATCAAATCTATTCTTGAGATGGTCTCTAAATTTAGGTGGGGTATACTCAAGGTCATAATTTAGCTCTTGTGGACATGTTTCAATCTTCTTCAGCTTCAACCTGAACTTGCATATGAGCAGTTGATGGCCTGTTCTGCAGAAGAATTCAGATATGACAATATAAAAAAGAATTCTTCCTTTTGGCCTTTTAAGCCAATTGAAGGAAGGCTACTTTGGAGTCCCTGGGTGGCACTAGTTGTTAATGTCTTTGGCTGCTAACAGAAATATGAGAAGTTCAAGTACACCCAGAAGAGACTCAGAAGAAAAGTCCTGGCGATCTGCTTCTGAAATATCAACTACTGAAAACCCTATGATAGAGTGCAGCTGTACTCTGACACACCTGAGGTTGCCATGAGTAGGAATCAATTCAGGGACAACTAGTTTTCTAAATAGATTGCTTCCTTTATTTAGGTCCTTCACCCTTCAGAATTTGCATCAGCATCATCTGAAGGATAATTAAGTTCCTCTATGCTTAGTTGGGAGCTCTGGTAGCATAGTGGCTAAGGCACTTG